TGGCCAAAATATCTACCGACTATTCACGAATTTATCAAATACTTTCGATTAATGAGAGTGATAAGAGATAAGGCGGTGGGTCTTTTATTTAGAAAAAAATATAACTCTTTCATCGACACTTTGGCAACCCGTGAATGGAGGATTCGTGGAAAAACAAAACTTATCAAAAGGTAATAAAAAATATTAAATCCGGAAAATTTCGGCACGATATAAAATCACATAAGTAAGGCCTGTAAGTGGGCTCTACAAAATGTGAGTTGAAACTGGAGTAAAATTGCTTGCTTGATTTAAAGACTAGGCATTTTTGAATGGAATAATATGATGCTGCAACATGGGGATGATAACTCATTTGTGTTTCAATTAAAAAAAATAAGTATTTAAAAGAAGTTAGGAAAAAACACCTCAGACGGAAAGCCAATTCAAAAAAATTAAAATATTTCCCGCAGAACTGATTAAAAATAAACCAATTTACGGTTGGGCAACTCTACGTGAATGGGCGAATTAAGGAAAGGCGAAATATTTAGCGGAGCTTACTTAATCAAACTTAGCACAGCAATGAAAATCATTTGAGCTAAGTTTCGTTTATTCCATGCGTCTGTAAAATGCGCTCTTAAAGTACCACCACAAGGAAATTTGTTAAACACAGTATTCTTCAGGTAAACCAACGAAGATTTCGTGCCTTACTTACCATGTTACCAAGGTATAAATTGAGTGCGTGTTTAATAGGTTATACCAAGAACCGAAAATACTTATAGTGTTAACATATTTAAAAGTCACGTGTACTCAACCTGTATAGCAGACCCTACGGCGCTAAAACTGTTTGGTAGCATGCTTAGTATCCTCAGTCTTAGGATATTAGCCCAAATGGCTCCAAAGTATTTAGAAGTAAAATTCAGCTGTCCCCCATGACAATTTTATCATACCATGATGACCCATTAATAAAGATTTCATCTTATTACGTACAGATCATCCAAACGTTTACATATGTTGAGGGTCCCGGCATGTAGTTGCACACCACGCTGGGGCCACGGTGCTGAATTGAAACCGATTACGCTGCCCTGATGCTCGCAAAGATGAAGTAAACAGAGAAGAGTGTAGACGCAGCCGTATACCAGAGGGCTCAACGTAGTTTTGTTGTACCGTATGCATATATTTAAGGGAGTGCATGACTCACGTGTTTTGTTAATTGATAGTCTGAGTGAATTAGTAAAAACACCAACTATTCACTACGGATATTTGGGGTGTCTTAATATAAATAATAATAATAATAATGTTGAGGGCCCCGGCATGTTGTCTTGAACCATGACGGGGCCAATGCGATTATCTACGCCGAATACGTTACCCTGCGTTCCCGAGAAAATATAGAAGACCGGAGTGGAGAAGGCACAACCGTTTACTAGACCGCTCAACCAAGTTGTGTCGTGTACAATTGAGTGACATGTAAATATGAACACAGGCGCTTGTGAGGTCACCTGACCAATGCGGGAAGTAGTGGTGGTGATGGTACATTCAGCGGGGTGATGAACCAGCGGTCTCACGTGACAGACGGGCAGGTTGTGAACAGAGGGGACATGTGTGAGGCTGCGACGACTGGGTGTTTAACGTGAATCAACACGATTCACTACAATAATAATAATAATAATGATGAATACTGGGTTGTACGATTTAAAAATGAAGCGATTTCTCCCTGACACTTAGGAACAGAGAATGTTATAATAATCAATAGTTAAAGAAGAGGAAACGTTAATAGTTAAAGTGTCTCTGACAGAGTCTTGTTGCGTGGTGCTATCCAACGAGCAATAGGAAGGCATTTCTTCTGTTACTGATCAGGCAACAAAGCCACTAAAAGGGTATCATACCCGTTAAGATATGCTTCAACCAGCAAAAAGTCACTTTTAGTAATGCCAATGTCTACCCAATTAAAATTACAACTTCTAAATTATTTGCATTGCAAAATAGTGCCTTTAAAACTTTTATTTTTTTTAATTTAAAGCTATTATCTTCTGTATGCCATCCATAAAATTTCCAAATGAGGTGTAGAATGCAGTGCATTCTGGAGCCAGACAGTAAATCTGCACTTTGATTTCATTGGATATCAGAGCTAATATTGGTGACAACAGTCAGGTAAGTAATCGAGCATGATTTCGTTCCAATTTGTAGACACAATACTATGCTGAATCCTAGGTCTATCATGAATTCTTTTTCTACCTTTGTTGGATATCATGAACAACAGCATAAATGTCGTTTACCTGTAAATACTAAGCCTGCTTGACCCAGTGAAAATAGGCTCGATCAAGGAAAGTAAATGTCACTGTTGCTGGCATGGGTTAATATTAGCTATATCTTAAAAACCGGACTCATGAACTACTGCTCATGAATGAAGCATAAAAGGTCGATACTTTCAAACACTTGAACGATCTGCAAGATATTTGAGTCAATTTTGTATCTTTTGAGTGAGAGGGGAAAATCGAAAGACTAGGAAGAAAGCGTGTGCAATCCAGTCAAACATCAAAGAAGTTGCACCCTAGAATTTTTCTACTCCCTTTGCACTTCAGCGCCTCTGACGTCGTTTTATTAGCAACAATGAAATTTTATAGCCTATCTTTTAAAGGTCATTAAGTGTGTCTTTTCATCAAGGAATTAATGCATGTTTAGCATAACCCGCTTAACGGTCAAATTTCTATCGTGTTGCAAAATTTGACAGGTAACAGTGTCTTTAGTAGTAAATGCCTTTTGAAATCCGTCTTGATTTAATTTTTTTAAGTCTAGCTTCCAAGTATTGGCATCAACGGAAAACTATTTCTGTTTGCATAATTTAGCATCTGATGTGTAGATAGACCAGTAACTCATAGAATAGATCAACTCTCAAAGAGTCAAGAACACTAATTTTTATCCTACAATCAGTATCATAATTTGTAACATATTAGCTACACATTCACCAGCCTCTTTACTGAATTACTTGAAAAAAGGTACCCAACTGAAATGTGGCCGTCTTCACCACCGCGGTAATCATAAGATCCATTAATTTTACTCAATTTGGAACAACTTAAAATAAAGCGATGTTATAAGTATTTAAGATTGATAGTGACCAATAGCTAAAACTGTTGACGTCCACTGCTTATGTACACTCCATGTGACAACATTCATTTTTTCTCCATTGCAATTGCTATTTTGAAAAAAACCTGGGCCTAATTCTAAAATCAGGTTAAATTTGTAGACATAAAATTTAGGACTTTTGATAATTCTATGAGACCTTATGAAAATTTCTACGTTAATATCGAAATTGTCTAAACGGTTATCTAGAGAACCACACTAAGTGTCCGCTGTTAATGCGACCGCCTGAAGATTTTGGAAATTCAAATTGTTTAACTAATACACAAGCATCCTGCAAAAAGAATTTAGTTAGCAAGTGTATTGACTTACGCTTAAATTTTAGAGTGCCTTGGCATATGCTATTAAGATATCTTACATGACCTTTTATTTTGAAAAATAAGAAATGTGAAATGCGGAACATGTTAAAATATGTGTCCGTCACACATTTTAAGGCCGCGAAATGTAGGTGGAAATATCATGGTGGGAGATGTTTCAGTCTAATCATAGTTTTATATTAATGTATAATCAGATTGAAAAATAAACCGCATCTAATTAGTATCCTCAAAACTACTCAGCAACTGCGAAAATTATTTTAACATTTTAGTTTTCAACATATTCATCAGTAAGTTGGAACTGTTGCACTTTAAGCAACTTATAATTGCGAAAATTATTATTTAGTAAGTGGGCAGTAGGGCTTTAGAAGCATTACCATTTTAGTGTATGAATGTGTTTGACTAAATTGCTTTGCTTACCGCATTATGTGAAAGTTGCTAGCTGAAATATTGCCTGCATGTTTGCTTCTGAATGTTTGACGTTGTTTGGATTTTTATTACGAACATCTGTAGCTTTTCCTTTGAAAGTATTTTAATGGAATTTAGCTAGATATTAAGTAAGTGCTGTGGTTTTTTTTGCATCGATGTGTTGTGATATATATTTTGCCCAAACTATTTTTGCAAATTTTTATTAACGGCTGTTACTTTGTAACCAAAGTAATTTACATACAACTTGTGCTCTTTTGTATATTTTTATTTTTACACCATCACATCTGGTAATGTTTTAAATTTCTTTAGCAATCGAAGAACAGCCTGTCTTAAGTTTCACCAAATCATGACTTATAGTTGGACGTGCAAAATCAAGTTTTATCATCAATGTATTTTTCTTCCGGGTGGAATAATTTTAAATTTCGGTAATGTATGGGCTTAAGTGATAACCGGCCATATTCGATCCAATCTAAAAATTAATTAGGAAATGTTATTTTTCCTTTTATCTCCTGGGGTTGTATTCAAAATAATTACTTCGAAATTACGAGTCTCTTTGCTTTTAGCACAATGCACGTGGACAGGTCGAGGCAACGTACATTTCGACAGAAAAACCCGTCATTTAATTCGGTTGCTTCTGAAGCGTCTATTCATCGCCAGAAAATCGCTTCGTTGCGTTCTACATTCCTAAATCAGCCATGCAGTGCCTCAAATGATACTCCACCTTTCATTGGCAGTTTGACACTACCAACCACCTTTGTTCGCTCTCGTCGTGACGATGAAGTCCTTCCATTTAATGCCAATGCAAGTAATCGGAACCTTCACAATTGCTCTGCCTTAGATCCCTCATCGAGCAATGTCGATGTCGTTCCAAGCTTACAGTCTCGTTTGCCTATTTGTACATACACACAGTTACCTACCACTACGACCATTTCAAACGTTGATTCCCATCTGCCCCTAATTCGCTCGCAGTTATCAACATCTAAAGGTAATACATTGGCGACTGCTAAATCTCCCATAAATACCCAAGTACGATCTCGTACCTCGCTGTATCCTCGTCGAACTAAACAAATTATTTTGACGTCCTCGAATGCTTTGGGTGGTGTCTTGTCACAGCAACAAGAATCATCGAACCTGGTGAACTCAAAAATGCCATCTGCTGTGGTGCCATCGTGGAGAAATGAATCTTTTTATACTCCAAACCAAACATTGGCTGCTAACGTTTGTCGTCCCTCCGCGGGTAGTCGTTCACTTGATCCCAGAACTGTACAAGAGAAGCTGGATGCTGTAGCCACCTATCCCCAGCCAAGCTTCCACAAATCCATGTACTATCACCAAAATGTCGTGGAGCCTGTAGAACGATATCGGTCAGCCATAACACTATCGCCAAGCGAGCCACTTTGTCTTCACACCGCTAGGCAGATTGACTTTTGCCGGTCGTGTCAGAAGTTGACTAATTCGAGAGCTTCTTCATATCATCGCTCTTCCTCCAGGCATTCAGTAAGTAACATTCCGATATTAAAATTTATTAGCACGAAACATCTATATTGTCACTTCCGTCGAAGTTTCTATGGACAAAACGCATGCATCAATAATACAGCTATCTAGATTTGGGCCACTTAGTTTTCTTCAAAAAGAGGTATGAATTTCAGCTTTCTTCTGCTTTAATTAGCATCGCAACTCCTTTATTATGTCTGTTCAGTTATATAGCGATTGGGCCTTTGGTTCGTGTTCTGCATCATGCGGGTCTCTGGCTAACCTTGAGGATTATTGGTTGTATTCCTGTCGAAACGCAGTTTTTACTGGTTCTGTTCCTTATTGATCATTGTAATCGTTTTAAGCTTTTAACACCAGAGCCAAGAAAACGAGTTGCGTTCTTTGTTTCCTTCTCGAGTAAAATAGTATTATTACAATGGGTGAATATGACAAAACTTTTTTGATTGTGTGCACTCGGAATTATGTTGCTTCCGTAATTTATAAGTCTGAGCTAGTAGCTGCTACCCTCTGCTTCCCGAGTTGCCAACAAACCAGTCAGCTCACTTTTGAAATGGATATTTTTTTGTTTTAGAGCATCAAAGCTTCTGCATCACAGGTAAGCACAGAGGTAGGGCATTTCGATTAAAGGCGCAGGGTGTTGTTCTGGCTGTCTCGAAGGGCCGATTGCGCACCATCCAAACACTAGGCAAACCCCTGTCTGCTTTTGTGCACAGGGAGAATACCATCCGTTTTACGTTAATTCAGATGTGATTTCATGCTGTTAGTAAATTACTTAGAGGTTGCATAGTCAAACTGTGTAAGGGGTGAAGATTGTACAGAAAAAAACTCGGTCATTGAGCGCTAAAAATTTGCACTAAACACCAAAAAGGGTATAGCGCTTCTATCCAGCTGTGTGTTCTGCTCTTTTTTCAGATGAAGCAATTGTACTATCGTGTGGTTCGTTTAATTTATAATGCAGAACGCATTTCAGACATCAAAATAACTTAGAAAGAGCTTCTCACTCACCAAGTCTTCCTTCTCCAGCTTCCATGATAAACGCACAAACTTAAGCATTACCTATATCAGCCCAGTCGTATTATTTGTAATCTATACATATTCTCTAATGATCAGTTGCTGGTAACAAATTTCCAGATGGAGAAAGAATCTGGCGAAGACTCGTTTGCTGAGCGAGGCAGGAAGCAAAACAAACTCCATAATTCTCTTCCAATCGGTTACCGCTCCGTGAATGACCTGAAGCGCTACTCTCGACGTAGAGTACTTTCCTCGTCGAGCTCGTCCTCTTCAAGTAATCTTTGTGACAACTCATATGCTCCCTTGTCAAGCGATGAATTTTGGCCGATTGCTGTTAAGAAGCCTAAAGACCGCGCGTGTCGTAGACGGCGAACGCGGTCCTTGAACCCTCGGTGGCCGCCAGGTGCCACAGATTCCTCGACAGACGACGACGAAGATGCAAGGGCTGTTGGGGCCCTGGCAATGCGACTTCAGCCCATGCTTGCTGAGGGGAGGATATCTGAGGTGCAAACTATTCTCTTGAGGGCTCTTACACGGCCCGAAATGCGACAGCGAGCTCTCAGCCTACTGGATTACCTGAGTGGTGATGGATCGCTACTAGCACTTCCGACTACTTCACAAGTAGGTCGCCACCTTGTTAAGTTCGCTTCTGTAATTACGTGATTCGGATAAACGTGCTAGTACATTGTGCGCCCTCACCAACTCCTATTTGGTTTCATTTTTGACTCTTTTTTCGCAACCCATTGGTAGCGCTGGCCTGTACGAGGGATTTGTTTACAGACTGACGTTAACTGAGCACAACCACTCACATTAATTTACTAACTAGAATACGTTAGCGGCAACATGTCTTACCCTAGCGAACTAAACCTTCAAAAGATACACTTTGCGCTTTACGAATAGTGCCTTGAACGCAATTTATAATCAAGTCTGATTCCTTTTGCCCCTCCAGTTGTAATCTTGCACTTGCATCACTGTACTAGCAGGTTCTAAATATGGGTTGTTTTGGTTAAAACACACAAGGTCATTGACGGATGGATGTTGATATGCCCGTTGTCTGGCCATGAACGCGTCCCCTCTAGTTTTATACTTTTGCGAAGTCGAGTGTCCAATGTTACACTATCGAAGGAAGCTGTTCACTTTCGTCCTAGAATCTGGAAGAGTGCCTTGGACACATTCAGCGACCATGGATACCGTACTACAATGCCTTTTGTGTGGTTTCTCACACCCCTAAATAAACAACAATGCAATGTAAACCTGAAACCTAAATTTACCAAGAATTCAAGTCAGTGACGGGCTTGTTGATTTGGCTTTCTACTAATGTAACCAATTGAAAGGGCTAAATTTAAAATATGAAGTACATGGACAGCTGATGTCGGCACTGCCTCGCGCTCGTTCACCCAACCAAAGTCCGAATTTGATGCCTTTTCTGGTATCAGTAGTGAGGATGTATTCGTTGTAAAAAAAAGAGAAAGCCTCCACATTGTCAGATTGATACAAAAGTAATGCGCGTTTCTTATTACAGACGTTTTCGGTAGTATTCATTACATTCGGTCTCTTATAGCTGCCGATGTCACAATAGCTATTGTCAATAGAGGTTTCACTTACAAATCAATGCTTTTAGTCGTGGTTATCCGTATTTTGACCACAAATCTAGTAAGCATGCACTACTTCTGTGTGAATTTACTCTTTGCATTTCCTGTTTCGCCGTTGTATTCCAAGTGATCCTTAGAATATGTCTTAATAGCCTGATGGTTCACTACGACCAAGCATCTAACGGTCGTATCTCAAAACATACTCAGTGTACTTCACGCAGTTCGACCTCGTAGGTTGTCTGTTTTGACGCCTACACTAATGACCAAATCTTTTGTTTTCCATTTCAGTGTTGTGCCGGGTATGTGTTGTGTCTACTATTTTAATTTTTTGCGCTTTGCCTTGCTTGCTTACTGTTTCTACATTTCGTTCAATGCATTCTCATATTTTGATCAGCGGTTTTGTACCTTGCTAAAATGCCATGAGTCCTAAATAAATTATTTTATGTAGCCCTTTGCTTTGCATGCGAACCTCACGTAATATCACATCAAAGTCAAGCAACATCATGGAATACTTTGTCGTCATTTTAAGTTTGGCTCTTAGCAGGCTCTCTAAATTCCACAAACAACAGATGTAATTTGTTGAATCACGTTCTCATTAATTGAATATGCACTGAATATCCCGGCTTTGGTCCTGGTACTGCTTTTTCCCTAGCGATTTCTCCGATTTCTCAAACTTCACATGCTGTTTGTAATTCCTAGCGTAACGCATTAGGAAATCTCTCTTAATTATGTTGTAAATATCGGCGGTGGCTTCCTCTGGCTAAATGAGCGGTGTTTCGGCATTATTTGGCACAGTATCCTGACCAGTGAATTTGATTTCTCATGGCGATGCACCAAGCACCTTAACCGAATAACGACCTACTTGACCTTACCCGTTACGTGATTTGTTCCGGTGTGAGTCATAGGTGACCAGCATTTCTGAGAAAGCAGACTGCCGTTTCACTTTAGTTCCGTCTAACTTCAGGAATGGAGCCGTTTTACGAGGAGGCCTTTTGGGTAGGCTAAACCCCTATTTTAATTAAATGCGATTTGTTCTCACAATCTTATGCTCTGATATTACTGTAGTGCCATTTCATTACCCTAAAGTGACTTAGCAGAATGGGAACACTATGCTTACGAAGAATTCAGATCAACTGTGCACCTTCTAAATTCCGTGCCAAATTGCTGCTCTCTTTTATAGCCCTAGTAACCTAATCTCACCATGACCTCTTTGTCGTTATTACGCCTTTGAATTATCTCTTTTGTTTTAATAATCTCCAGTTCATTTGCATTTGAGAGCCAGCCTTTACAGGCTCTCGTTGGACACGCTAAAACATTCCACACTGATAAACGATCAGTGTTATGACGCCTAATGAAAACAGCAGTACACCACTGATTGTATCTAACGTCTGCATTAAATGCATTCCCTGGACAACCAAATTGTGCCACGATCCAGGCGACCTCTGTACCAGCTAACCCTCCTAACATTTTAGCAGCTGTCCTCAACAAAAAGCGATACCTCTCTCAACGAAGTCCTCACGTGTACTAGCGAAGTGAGTAGTGATCTCTCTCAGACCTTTGCTTCTCGCCTCAAACTGGCTCACGCAGTGGAAAACAACGAAAGTGGTGAAGACGATGACGAGGAAAAATCAAGCGGTATCTTCGGAAACCCCGCAGTGTCGAACGCGTCATTGCTTCACGATGCAAAGGCAACGACTGCCCCTAACGCCAGTGTTGTCCAGGTGATGTTACCGCCAGGAGGTTTGGTAGAACCACCTCCCCCCAGATTGGCGATGCCCCCACCCAAACCATTGCCACCACCTACACCTAAGTCAGCCGTTGTGCCGAGCCCTGAGACACTTGCTCGTGTCGACGCGCATGCTCTTGAGGTAACTTCCCTTTCAATTGTTAACAATCTTTACTTCACAACCATTTTCAGAGACCTAAAGAATAACCTCTCTAGGCAATGGCTGTGTGTCCGTTCAAGATCTCCGCATATCATGGGATCTACATTAATTAAAGTAGTGATCCCATGAAGTAATTTATCGTATACATGGAGCCAACCTAAGCGCTTAATCCATATATGCAAAGCTAAAGACGTTGGTGTGGAAATGCCTTTGAATCACCTTGTAGTTGTTTTTTTTTAACTTTGCTTGTGTACCGTTCGTCCCACCTCCTGGAAACGCGTTTTCCTCTTTTTTAGATGCTGGCTGTAAATCCCCTTTTGATAACCGACTTGGTTTCTCAGTTAACGGTGGATTGTAGCTCGGACGTTGAGATTGTCCGGTGAGCACTTTTTGCCATAATTTTGGTCACGTGTTAATCGTTCCAGTTTCACTGATCCCTTAACTGGTTATACCGAGACTACGGCCTCCCACATTCAACCATTCTATCAAGATGCCATATCACACATCGACGTTATTCACCTGTCAAGACGTGTCAGGTACCGAAATACTGATACTGCAACTAGCACTGTTGTTAGATGATATCCTTAGCTAACGGTTTTTTAATTCAAGTGAGGCTGTATGAGTTTTCGTTAAAAGTAAAAGTTGTTGCCTCCTGATCACCTAATTCGTTGACTCTTCGCGACTGGAATTAAGTATCACTTTGTTCAAACGTTTCTCAGTTGATCGGTTAGATATTTCTGGAACTCGACTGTTTACTCAAATTCCCAGGCTTCCAATTACCCCTTTCCTCTGAAATCACTAATTAGCAGTACTTATTCAAAATAACAGTAGTATTACAAACTCTCTGGCTGTAAAATGACAGGTTGAATTCTGCTCGAATGACTACTCACAGAAACTCGTAGCCTTCTAAATGGCGTCATTTGTGTCGGTGTGGTATTTTGTGTTTATTTGTGTTATGAACCATGATTTGATAGGCGAACTAGCATGCTCTAGCAAAACAATGCTTCATGCACACCAGGATTGTGTTCCTTCCTTGACGTCTCCTTTCTCAGGTTTAGGTGGAATTATTCGTGCGTTTCGGCAATTGTTGGCTGTTGGTTACTTTGTTGCTTTAAATGGTTTTTTAGGGCCTATGCCAACATGTTCATTTAATAAGCCATTTGCTTATTATTGGTGTGATCACTGGTGCAGTACGTCTAATGGCTGATTATTTACGCCTCAACTTTCATGTTATTAATTTTTTCGTCGAAGGGGGTTGGTTTTTTTCATCGTGCTTATTTCGTCCCTCCACCCACAGGCGACTGTTTCGGTGGGTGACTGCAAAGAACTTCGACTTGGTTGAGTACGACCCGTCAGCGCCGAGCGACTCCTTCGTCGGTATGCTCCGTAATGTGCAGATAGGGGCTCTGTCGAGAAATGAACTATTCAATGAACTCTGTCGGTGAGTGAACAATTCTTCCGCTGTATCACAAACGTGCAAGAATTGTTCCACATCTTTTCTCACATGTATCCACTGTTTTTCGGCCACACGTGATTCTCAAGTTTGGTGTGCTCTTCTTATGTGTGATTTTCCTTGTTGTGCTACTTCTGGGCACTCTTGACACATAACGCTTGGCTTACTTTAGTAATGACACGATAATGCTATCTCACCACTGTAGAAGGTGTTATGCATCGCGTTGATCCACACCCGCTGATCCGATCGCTCCAGCCACCGACACAGAGTCCCCCTTTTCGCACATGTCGCCCCTCATTAGCACGAACATTTATCCTGGATTAGCCTCACACCTAGGTCTCGGTGTTAGCGCATGTATGACTCACACATCTGAGGTATAAATACGCAAGCGCAACGACACCAGTTTGGGTTGAGCTCTGAAGTGAACGGTTGTGTTTCCGTCCTCTCCGGTCTTTTTCTTCATCGCGAGTGTCAAGGAAGCATAATCGGGCCAGAGTTAATTCAGTAGCCCCGGCGTGGTTCAAGACCACATGCTGGAGTTCACAACAAAGGAATTAATGTGTACTACATCGCGCCGTCACCACAATGTAGAGCCCGGGAACAAACCATATATATAAGGCGCCTCAGACCAAGGTGTTGGAATGCTTTGGAAGCTTGAAAAATCAGAGATCTTGTTGACTTTCTTACACTGGCTTCGTGTGGGTAGCTGCGGGCATATGATGTCGAGTTGGGCGGACTCAGGACATCGCAATTTAGCTGAATGCCTTCTTTTGTTCACAGCTTCGCTGGAATATACTGTCAGTACATTTCTGGCTACTCGAAAGGCGCGGGCTACCGACCAGGAATGCCGCTGAAACAGGGCTCCCTCTTCCGCAATACCTGGTTAGCGGTGTATGCCGGAGGGGGTTGGCGATTTGTGAATTGCAACTGGGCAGCTCGGTATACAACCTCAACTTGGAATTCACCTTCCAATGATTGTACGTTCTGACGAACTTTTTGTGTTCTTCTCATCTATGATTCCACTTGATCTATTGCAATGATTTCATGCAATCCCTTTCTAAACTTACGTGTCATTGCTACATTTCTGTGGTATTCCTGTTAAACTGCCCTTTGCTTTAGCCAAACAGTCGATATGTAGCAGTGAGTAAGCTACATTACATCCCTGTGGTTCATTTCTCTTGTCAAATACGAGTCCAAAGAGGGTGGTGCAACGGCCGTGGGACGAGGCGGACACACCCGTTAGGCGTTTTGCGTCATTGTGTGAGTGTGCGTAGGTGTTTTCATGGAGTACTCGTGAACAAAAACCAATGAAAGGCAAGGGGGTGGGTGTGAGCTGCCAATTAGCCCGATGTAAACCCTTTTTTACCAAGCCTCTCCCAAATGAGCGAGCCTACCAAACCTCCCATGTCATTTGTCTTCGAAATTGGCATTTTGACGTTGGCACGTACAGGTGATCTATCAACCTTTAAATCAGAAATAACAACCAGACACGTTTGGCAAGCAAGTCCGTCAGTCAGTGACGGAAGAACCATATTTTTCTGAAATTAAACCATCACTGCTTTCCGATAACACCGCTGAAACATGCATGAGACTGCCAAGCTGTTGGTTTGATAAGATTTGAATCCTATTGTGTTCTGCGCTCTTAAACGTATCTTAGATGAATGTAGGTTTGCTGCTTTGTAGTTAAGCTGCGTCAGGTCTTGTTGACTTGCTAAGTTTCCCAAGGGGGAACGTTTGCTGTTTTCTAACCAGCCGTAGGCAAGTTTGCACATCGAATTAGTTGCTGGGGTTGCAGTGTGGTGCGCAACTGGGAAACAAATCAAGCATGAGAATTGTCTGTCGTGGATGCTTAACGATTCTGTTCTTGCTAGGTACAGAATCGGATTACAAGTGCGACGAGTTCTACTTTTTCACTGATCCAGAGCAACACATTTTCGAGCACTGGCCGGACAACAAGGTGTGGCAGCTGCTTCACGCCAAACCCATCTCCCAAGCACGCTTTATTTCCCTGCCTGTGCTGAAATCTGCCTTCTTCAACGCCGGCCTCTCTCTAAAGAAGCCTTACTCACAACGCCTTGTCACCAAAAATGGACAAGTAAGCAAAGTTGACGCTCACGTGGTAGATGTGAGCTTTGTTTACGCCGACGTTAATATATTCTCTTTCGGAGGTGACACGTTCATCGTTGTATTTAAACGATTATCGAATTATCCTTCACCAATTGTTAGTTCACTACTAATACTTAACTTCCTTATTGTCGATTAGGAGGTACCTTATTTCACACGTAAGGAAGAGAGAAAACCTGTTGGTAGTGCAATTTAGGTAATAGTTCACAACTGTTTCCTGAAATATCAGTTTTAACTAAGATGAGGGTCTGATGGATGGTCAAAAAATGTATAACTGAAACGTCGAGTTGTCTGGACTGCCAATTAACGTCTTGTGAGTAGCTCACATCCTTGGATTCCTGCATCTCTTCCTTCTTTTCAGGTCAGTATCAAGCTCCGAATGCCTTATTTCGTTGGGATCTCCTGCAGCCTGGAGAACTTTGCAGACGGCAGCTCCTTGAAGGGATTTTGTCTTGTCGAGGTTCTCATCAAACCTCAAGACGTGGTCCGCATCTACTGTGCGCCTTCACAACCCGGTCGTTACTACCTCAATGTCTACGTCTCCTCGGATTGGCGTCGCGATGACACCCGGGAGCTGGCCTGTTCTTTCCAAGTAACCGCCTCTCTCTTTGTCGATGATAACAGCTCTTGTTTACTTTTCGTTCCTTGACTTTCCGGATTTCACTATTTTTCAGTGTTAGGCAGGTGACTGTCCTTGACAATAGGCTGCAAATGACAAAATAGTTGTTAGGTATCATTTCACCTCTGTACGTTGAGTTGCCCCAAATCACAGCTTACTCATCAGCTATTGTTGTACTCTAACTCTTTACAACTTCCAGACAAATTTAGTCCTGACAGGAGCACCTGTGTTCGTAATGAACAAATTATTGCCAGAGTTTGTTCCACCTACCATATTTGCTCATCTAGGTTTATTAGGTACTAATTTGACATTTTGCCTTGCCGAGCTTGGTGCGTCCGCACTTACCTCCGCTGTTTACCTGTCGTAAAAGTGGGCCAGATTCATGTCCCAAAGGTAGGGGGATGAGTTTATGCGTGTGACCACACAGGTCCTGTAGCGCGATTTTCGGGAAAGTCCGTTCCTTTCTAGCATTGTTAGGCATTTTGAAATGGTGATGGTAATACGACAGGTTAATTCGGGCTTTTCTGAACCACACCACTTACCAGTATTGCCAAACAAGAGCTTCTTTGTTTCTTAGTAAATTTGTGTTCCTTCTTCAAGGTAATATTTCAACTTCACACAAAACCTCTTTATTTTCTCCAGTGGTTATTTAAGCCCAGGACTATCCTTAGCTGATTTTAGAGCATCCAGTCGATTAAATTCTTCAGCAGTTGAAGCAGCTTCTAGAACCTAGAAATTGGCAGTATCGCTGGGTTTTTTTTTAAAAAAATCATGCAGTTTTGGCCACTTGAATCCAGCCCTCAAATGCACTGTCCTCTTATTCAGGTGCAATGCTGTGACTTCAACTACCCCCGTTTAGTAGTTATGGGACGTCTGCCTCAAGTTGGATTCCTGGGCCGAACCCCCGCAGCACAACACTTTGGCGTTGCCATGGTAGGGAGCAGTGGAAGTGGCAACCGGCCTTACATTCTTCACACCTCCTCAGACCCTCTTAAAATACCCTTCGTTATCCCTCCGGGTTTGAGGGTAAGCTGACGTCATGTTGCTGGTTAATTGATATGAATTTATTGGGAAGTAACCCATAATACACTTATTTCCGAATTTTATGTGGTCGTAGAAATATGAGCTTATTTGCAGGGCTTCTAACTCTCTGCCTTGGCTTTCCATTACAAACTTCTTTTTCTAAATGTCCCCGTAACCACCACCCGATGTACCAATCAGACTGTCCAGTCTTTTCACCTGCCGTATCGTAATATTTGTAAGCTACAAAAGCGTTGTATTCGCCGAAATACTTGCGCCGTCATAAATCGAGACTTATAAAACATTTCTTTGGCCGAATCGACCGAGTTCCACCAAAGCACTAGGCCTAACGAAATCACTAGTTCGCATATTCCATTGATTTCGTGACTGCTGGATCATTCTTGACTGATAGACTGTGATAACCTGATGACCTGCTTCAGGTGTGTCACCAATTGAAGTCGTTTGACCGTCCTGGTCGTCAAATGTCCGATTGTGACAACTACGCCCTACTTCAAATGCGCTTTGCATCGTCGTCTGATGGCGCATACACCGGCGTCTCCACTTCAACTTCGACCAACGTGAATCTTGGAGCATCTGCTGCAAACGCCCACTACCACTTGCGTCTACCGGTGAACGCATTCTTCTACCTTACCGTGTATGCGGCCTATGAGGACGTGGGGACAATTTCCACCGAGGCTAACGACCATCTAGAATGTGTTTATCGGGTGCTTGTGGATGCGCGGAGACCTACGCTGTCCAACGGATCTGGGCCAGTACCCGCATTTCCTAGACAAACTTACTGGCAAGTAGAATGATTTCACCTACTCGTAGGCTTGATTTGCAAGACCAGGCTGATTGAACAATCCCGCTTCATCTTCCTTACTCGTTTTTTTTCTAAAGGTGGGTTGGTTCGCGTCTTTTGGAGCCTACACGCCTTGCCCTCGAAGTAAAAAAGCGTCATTTATTCCGTCTTGATGTCCCCACCAAGTACACCTCCGTCGCTGTGGTAATCAATGCCTCCGAGTGGCACTTCCTCAAGTCCTCTTCTTCCTCAACGGGCTGTTCTCGTTGGTCAGGCAAAGTGCTGCCTCTGTCTGCAGGCGAGTTGTCGGTCTACGCCTCAACCATAGATGCCTCGTCGAATGCCTCAGAGAGGGTGCCCTACGTGAAACTCCTCGAATACGTGCTTATTCAGCCACTACCCCCATCGCCACCACCGCCCGCCTGCTAATATCTACCGTTTTATGCAATTTTACTGATCACGACCTTATCCAGTTATGTGTTCTGCTTTTTTTGTGCCCAGGTAATGCAAATAAAACATGTTTGTCGTATGCGGTCTGGTCACTTTTGTTTGTGCCTTTGAATGCCTCTGCTGTAGTATCGATTTGAGTATATTTCTGGAGGTAAACGGCTGGATCTCTGTTGCTGTGTGTTTGAACACTCTCTGTTACCCTTCGAGTGTGTTCTGACGTGTCATATTTTGATCTTCACTTTTGGATTACCCCAATGTTTCGTTTGTAGACATGGAATTTCAAATAAATGAAGATTTCGCCAAGCACTACAACGAATATCGTCAAAAAGAAGAGTTCCAGAAATTAAAGACTCGCTATGGCGACGTCAAGTTATTGGACAAAAAGCGGAAAGCAGACGATCAGTCAGGGGACGACGACAGCGCCTCATCGTCCTCGTCGTCCTCGGAAGAATCAGATTCCGAATGGGAGGACCAAGAACACGAGGACTTTCTACGGCTCTACGATGCGCTGTGTCGCGACGACCCAGCTCTGAAGGACGAAGAGAAGGTTTGGTTTCGACCCAAGCCGGACACGTCAGAAAAACCCCAGAAAGAGAGAAATCGGACGGTCCTGTTAAAGGACCATGCCCGGGATTCCTTGCTTTCCCGTGGAGCCTTCAATGACGAGGATCCGACAATGGAGGTCAAATCCACTTCAAATTTTGACGTTTTGAAAAAACTGCAGGGCACGGATGCGCAAACGCTGAAGCAGTCGTTTCTGGCGTAAGTGCAGAAGGCGCTTGTGCTATTCACTTGACGTCTCGAATTGCCTCAACAACTAATATCCGGTTCGACACCTTATTTTATACATCATGCCAAGTTTCGGGAACGATGAAAACTTAACTAATCACTTTTGTGCTGTACTTGTAGAGAAACAGAACGCCTATTTAGTGACGGCAACGATAAAGATGAAATGTTCTCAAGGAAAGAATCCGACGAACAAAAAGAAGGTCCCAAGAGGCCGAGCATTGTCAGTTGTCATCCATTTTGCTTATTGTTTTCTTTCTTCCACTACCTTTGCAAAACTGATTTCTGCCTTTTTTAGGACACCTCGCACTTTACCTTCCACGTGTCAGGCGGTGATGAGGAATTTCTGAAGGACTACCTGGTGAACAGACGGTGGAAAGGAAGAGAAAAAAAGGATGTGAAGAGAACGGTGAAAAGCAGTGTTGGTGTTGCTGATGATGACGCCTTATTGGTGCGAAAGCCGCAGATGTGTATTGGGGCCGATGAGCCGCTGTTGACGGCACCAGAAGAATTGGATGCTGACGATGAGTTTCTAGTGAAGGCCCGGCGTTTCGAAGATGCGTGGAATAACAACGACGAAGACCTGGTGCGTTTTCGATCGTGATTTCTACTTTGAAGACGCCAGTTTGTGTAACTGTGTTTGTATTGTTATAAATGTGTTTTCATCTTCCGCAGACAAAAGAATATCCCAGAACATCCGCTACTCGCTATAGATTTGAAGAAGGCGACAAAGATTTCGTGAGTTTGTTGCAGTTGCTACTTCGAGTTTGAACCTAGGCCTTTGCTCCAATGAGAGTCATTCGGTTTTTTATCCCCATTAGCCATGATTTTAGCATTTCGTAACCTCTAATTGTCGGTGAGTAGCAACGACACACTGGACGCGATAAAGATTGTAAGAATTCACCACAAGTGATTGACTTATTGTGAATGAGATCTGCACTAGTGGATATACGCACTGGAATCGAAGACCATCAAAACAATCCGTTACCGTAGATTTCAATAGTGGTTATCCACTATCAGGGTCTTTGAATAATGTCCCATTACAACCGGTATGGTAAAACAATGGGTTATACGGAAATAGCATAACAAATGTCACACGCACTTTGACCGCGGTTCGTGGAGTGCAATATTTTTTTATTCTCCTGCAGATCAAAACCTACCCACGCCGCATTGAAAGCAGCCTCCGTCAGCCCTCCACAGCCGGGATGACCCGCGCTGAGAAGAGAAAAGCTCGTGCCGAGCGCAAGGCAGCAGAAAAGGCAGCCAAGATGAAGGACATTGCGCGTTTCAAGCAACTCAAGATGGCCGAGTTTGCGGAAAAACTTGAGCGCATCCGCAGGACATGCGGCAACGGAACAACCATGAGTTCGGCCACTGTGACCAGCATTGCTGAAAACGGCTATGAGCCAATGAACGAAGTTCGTTGTTTTTCTCACATATCATCGAACGTCTAAGTAGCTGAGACTTGTGGTGTGATTGAGAAGAGTGCAACATTATTGGTTTTGTGTAGTTTAATCCACAAATATGTGTCTGTATTCATGGCCAAGTAGTATCGGGGTGCTGGATCTCGTAGCTTTTATCAGCGTCTTCACAGAAATTTCTTAAAAAATTCTAAGTTCCAATATATGTTTAATAAGTACTGTAATTGTTAGCAGCTTCAGTGTTGGAAATGTCTTTGCCAATGACTTGAGTGCTTGTTTTTTTTTGAAATTGTGGCCCCATTGATATCTGTTTTATTTGAGTTGTCATTTTAAACCCAATTCACATGTACGTTTTAACTGTTTAAAATGAAGACCGTGTGTATGCATTAATACAGGTATTAAAGTAATAGAAATTAGGCCTCTTTGACTAGGTTCATTTCTACCCCCGTCTAACTCAAGTGCAGCACACAGCATAATCCAACTGCTAAGGAGTGTCACCAGTAAAATTGTCGCATGTCTCTTGTACCCTGCGTATCCTGGCATAACTCCATAACTCCAGTGCTACTTTACCCTCCTTTTTAATGGTAACGCATTAATCTATAAAAAGTGGTTTGTCGGCACAATCAGCTCTCCCTCTTTTCCCACCAATAAGTGACTATCGATTGAGGAAACTGAGGCGGAGCTATCAAGGCACTTGGCGCTTGACCTTTTGGATTTCGGTTAGCCATTGTCGACTACAGCACCTATTCTTTGTTCAAAATAGCCCAGTTGGGCACTTTTGGTTTTTAACTAACAGTACTTTTGTGGTGCAAAACTGAGAGATTACACCGGCTCCCAAGGTGTCAACTAAGAAATATGAATAGAACACCATTCCATCTTCTCACGTTAGGCCTAATTTACTGAGCATTCAAGTAGAACAATGTCATAAGTCATGTGTTGATTTAAGGTCACAGAGGAGGTCATTGAGTGCCTCGATAACGACTGGGACCCCGAAGCGCACGATCGTCTTGTTGCCAAATTATTCGACGACGGGTACTATGGTGCTGAAACCCCCGATGATGGACTCGATGAGCCGCCCAACATCGACTCAGATGATGATGATAAGTTTGCGAAGAACCTGGATAGTGGGGACTACGATGACTACCTTCCTAGACAGGCAAGCGGCAGCTGTGTTAATTCCATTACTCATTCACCTTGGTTCCCCATTTTATTGCAGTTTTTTACCCACAATGCTTATGGCATGTGAGCTCAAAACGTTTAACGCTGTTCCGTTTAGTTAAGATGTATCCAAAAGTGACTGCAAAACATTTTAAAGGGTCTAATACCATGTGGTCTTGAGGGAGGCAATAAGCTCACGCTTACTTCGTGATCAGGACACCTTTCACCATTAGCTTTTGATGACTTTAGTCTACATTTAAGGAAATTCGGGATTCTTTCAGAAACACGGACATTTTGTGTTGCAGTTCTGGCGACTGCTGAGACCTTCTGCATGCAGTTGTTAGGCTCCAGAGTTGGTTCGCTTACCGTTGACCTTGTGCTAAAATCCACAAAGCGTCTCCTTAAATGTGCTTTCTTAGTTTTAAGCCTTTTTTTTAAAAAAAGAAAAAAAACCGTATGAGCTTTCTTTTGTTAGTGTTAGCATGCACTTGCACTCAAGCCATCCACTTTCGTGCCAAATTGTTTTAAACCAAAAACTCAAACTGCTCAGCTCAAGCTGTGTGGAGGGTGGCCCATATCCAACAGCGTTGCAACTTCAAAGCTCAAATTTGCTGCCTTTGTCTGAAGTTGATTTAGCGCCAAACCCGAAAAATCTGTGTCTGTAGATTCCTTGACTGGCTTTCTCTCCCGTTATTTTTCAGCCTAAAGTGATAGCTTCACACGAAGAGAACTCTGCAGGCAAGTGTGCGGAGAAGCAAGGGGATCAGACACTGCCGATAATTAGAGCGGCCAAAGAACTAGAAAAAACCCTAGGTCTGAAGAAGAAGAGCAAAGGCGCTCATCGCCAGTCGCTTCTTAGAAGTGCTTTGGACAGGCAGAAGCCCGTATTTAGCGCCTCTCAGTACACCGACTTCGAGGCAAGTGCTTTGCGCTGTTTCTACGTGAAATTCCCCGCGCCCATTCCTTTCGCTCACATATTTGGTCTTATAGAAGTATTTTGACGAATTCTACACACTGGATTGTGAGGATATCATCAATGGATCGGGTCCTGGTGATGATGTCCACTGTCGTTTCAAGTATCGTGAGGTCAAACCAAACGACTTCGGTCTGAGTATTGAAGAAATCCTCAATGCAGACGAAAAGGAGTTAAATCGATGGGTCTCCGTGAAGACCATGAGCGCCTATCGGTTAGTTCATTCTTTCTTAGCTCCGGCATCGTTTGCTCTTAAATTTGTTGAAACTAAAACGCATGCAAGTCCTGTTGAAGGGGAGAATCGTTTTAGCTCAGCGTCGATTTTTTCCCCCCCGCGATTTTAAACAGCACCGAAGAAGAGGAAGAGAGGGATTTGAGGGTATTCCACTCGTCCAAGATGCTACGCAAAAAGACCTCACTTATTCCTTCGCTTCTGACCAAAAAACAGGATCCGTCGTCAGAGTCAGCAGGTGAGGCTGCTGTTGCGAAGGTGGCCGTGGCAGCGGATGATGAAAAGAAGCTCTCCAAGTGAGTTACGGGTGATATTTTACTGGTTTTTCGTGTTCCTTGGATACTTGGCACTTAATTCTCTTGATGTTCACGCCTTATGTCTTCACGATTTACCCAAGTGTACGTCCAAGTCTTCAAAGAAGGCGAAGATAGCTCGGGCAGAGAGCTTTACTGTCAGCCGAAGCTTCAAGCACGACCTGGGGTCAAAGGGGCAGTCGAATGTATGCTCAGGCGCCTGGGCGATTTGAGATCGATGAGTTGGGTAATTAACACAGAGTGTTGAGTTGTTTGTGTTACCAACAATGTGGCCTGTCTATAGGGTTGTGATTGTTCGGAGTAAACAGAAGTAGCTAGTCTCAGTGTCTGGTTGTCTTGTGGGATGTTGACATGCCTAACAAATTACATCCATCCATCAAATATCTTACTTAATCTGAAATAGCGCAAGTCTTGTGGTTATGGTTAGTACTCATTGTCTACAAAACATGTGGCATTTAATAGTTTGAATCATGAATGAGTGGCCGTAGACTTGACAATACCTTCGCCAGCATAACGGTCGATTTGCCGATCTAAAAGTCATAGGTTTCTCTATTGTAGCTGTGCGCCCTTTGTTCATAAATCAGATGGTTGCTGATAGGGTGTCGTTTTCGTATGTCTGCTTACCGTTCACGAAAGCCAATGAAATATTAATCGGCTTATTGTTGATAGACTGTCTGTTAATTCTGTTGCTTGTGCTATTTACCCTCGCTTGTCAAATTTATCAGTTGCATTTAGCGTTTACGTCAGTTAGGTTCAAGAAAATTACTTAAATTTAAATTATGTGGAATCATTCAGTGCTTGTGTGTGCGTTGTCTCCGCCCCAAGCAGTTTTATCTCTCCACTAAGTGGAAAGAAATGCGACATAATCCGTTCCTCAATATTACAAACGAGTTATCTCAGTAGGTTATGTAAATATGCTCTACTGCGTGTTGGAGGCTTTATTTGTATCGGGTGGGCTCGGACACCCGAGGCCGGCTTGGATTTTTTGTGTTTGTGGTTTTGAGCTGGTTCTCGTCGTCCATCGATGTGTAATTATGGCCTGGTGTTAATCATTCCTTCCACCAAGGTGATCCTCTTAGGCAGGCTTCAGTAAATTTGAATTTCGCTTTTCTTAGGAAAGCTCTGAAGCGTCTCCGAAAGAAGCAGCGGAAGGCTGAATTGTCCTCATTGTTGTCTGCCGCGCAAAACAACATTGTGGAGGCCCCTGTAGAAAGCACTGAAGAGGCAGTCGTCGCAAATGAACCCAAGAATCCTTCACCGGATGATGAAAATGCTAATGCGCATCGAGGCTCCACGAAGCGAGCGCACGAGCAAGAGGAACCTCGGAAGACCAAGAAACAAAAGAAGGCTCACGGCGTCACCACGTCCGAGGAGATCAAGCCCGCTAAACACAAGCATTTTCCGAAAAAACCGAAGCTGTCAGATGAGCGTTTACTGGCAGCTGGAATTGATCCCAAACAGTTTAAGTATATGAAAACCCATGTACATGAAAAAAAAGCATAGTCTGATCTAAATAGATTTTACTTTTTCATAAACTGCATGGTACTAGTTTTTTTTTCATTATTTCAATTCAGGTATTTGAATTTGGCTTACTACCGTGTCTATGGTTTGAATATCGTTGCAACAGCACGCCAATGTGGTGAATTCGTGGACACTTAAAGTTTAACTACGGTTCTTGAAAATCGCAGTCTTCGTGCTCAGCCGGGGTCAATGCGTCTTGGTTAGAAGTAGGTCGAAATTACATTGGCAAGGGACCGAGAAGTCGATCCGCCATTAGTGGTAGCGTTTCAGTGTGCTTTGTAATGATATTAGTTCCGTTTACCTGATTTATCGTCCTGACCAATTAGATAGTCGAGAGTGATTTCCGGTCTTCGTGTCAACGTTCCAGACATTGGTTGCTGTAAGAAAGGCTCAGGAAATTTACGCTTTTTATAACGACGGAAGGCATCAATTAATTCTAGTACAAAATATTCTGAAGTGAAGGGTCACTTGGTAGTAGTTCTCTAACAGGTTTGTCATCATTGCACATATCTATGCTGAACTATCGCCTAGAACATCAGATCTTCAATTTACGCACCCGCTAATCGGCTGTGTCATGCTCTTGCTCCCTTCCGTTTACCCCGGTTGCCTTGAAGCAGTGTGAGGATTGGTGTTAAGTCAGATCAGCGTTGTATATTTCTATTGTCAATAGCCTATGATAGATCTTTCGGCCATTCTACTAGCTATCATAATTTGTCATCGTCAGATTTCGACTATAGAGGCCGTCAAGTGGGTACTGGTGACGGAGGGAATGGAGTTTCTGACGATATTGAGGTGAACAAGTTGTCGGCAGTCAGAACGTTGAGGGCGTGACTGCCACCATTGACAGTTCATCTTGAGCTATCCATCCCATGCCAAAGATACCCTTCACCAATGCAGAGAGTTGTCGTCGGTTGTGTATTGAGACACGAGTACTGAGGCCTACGTTTTGAACTGTGATTGCAATTCAACTAAGGCTAACGCTTAGCCACTACGCCTTCGCGGCTTGTATGGCTTGGCTGCCTATCTATCTGCCGCATACAATGTTTGTACAAGGTCGTCAAGGAAGCTGTTCTTCTGCTTTAGTTCACCATTGGCATGAAAAATCCGATGCGTTGAGAAAATGAACGTCATTCCAAGTTTGTAACTTCTTGCCATTCCTTAACCTATTTAGAGTACCCTGGGTGAGCTAATCGCTGCTTATTTCGACCAGAGCGTTCTACATGCATTTGTCGTAGTTGTTCGTGAGTTATAAATGCTCGTGAAAAGTGGAACAGTCAACGAGACTTTTTTGTCCTATAATAAATGGATATTTAGGCATACGAACGGAGCATGTAATAAAAGTGGCAGGAAACAGTATGTATCGAATTGGAAGCGAGGCAAATTGTGTCCAGAAGTTAGCCCATAGGCTGCTGCACTAATGTACTTTATGCCGAAGGCAATAAATTCTAATGAGACGATATGAATAAGCAAACAGCATGTTATTACAAAATGCTAATCAACGCACTAGTCGTCATCAATGGTGCATGGTATATTTGCCGGTTTGACGATGGTTTCACAAAATGGTTACGTTATTTGTGGTTGATCCTAGCAAGTGATGTAGCGCCAGCCTGAAGCTAGGCACGCACTTGTCTAAGCTCTAGTCTGCTCTTTTCTACCCTGGAGAAAACACCATGCTTTTGCGTCAATTTTCAGTGATCACTAGTTGAACTATAAGGCGACATCAATTCCCTCTACGCATAATGCCCTACGAGGTTGTGAATTTAAATAGAAATGTCGAATTTCTTCTAATATCAACGATGGCAAACATTTACGGGCCATTTAAATCCGACAAAGCAGAGGGGAATACTTTGTATCCCTAATTCTATTGAGAGTGTATAAGTAAATCAGGTAATGCTCAAACATCCCAACCACTTAATTTTAATGAGTTCATGGGTACTGACAAAGAAATCAAAACCACTTCAATGTTGATGTTTAAAATTAAACACACTAGCCTTCTTTGTAATTCTACTTTTCTATCAATGTATTGCTTTGCTTATCATTATTTGCCCACTAGTCAGTGTAGTGCCGTGCGACTCTGCGTGCAGGAGTGAAGGCATACTCAGTGCATTCTAATTTGTATGCGGATACATGTAAAAAATACGGGATACCATTAATGACTTTACGAGCAGTCATAAATGCATTAGATGACTTCTGTCCCTTTACGTCGTCTGGACGGTTGAACCTGGAAATGCATGGTCACTCGCCATGCGTGTTCGACAACTGGTCGAGAAATCTCTCCCAAGCAAAATTAGTTCCTTTTATCGTGTAAATGTGATACTCTTCTGACATGGGTCGAAGCTTCTTATCTTAGTCTGCTTTGGCATACATTTACATTGAGTTCTCGTTTTGCGTTATGAAACAGTTAAAATGGAGGCGCCAAGTTGTACACTAGATAGCACAGTCGTTACTGTGGACGTTATAGTTACATGTTACTCCCTCGCAGGTTAATGCTACCCTATTTAGTAAATTCGATGCTTACTTGCTACCTTCAAAGCCTTTCCGAAGCATTTTAAAAATACAAATTGTGCCTGCATTTAGCCATGGAATCTGTAACACGCCACTTTGAGACACATTCCCAGTCATCCGTTCTCCATGGCCGAGATGTTGAAGGACGACATTTCGTGTGAAGTATGAATTTCGGAATTTCAACAAGATGATCATATCACTTGATTACTTATAAATCAAGCTACTTAACTAAAATCAGTAGCAAAGTTGTTTTCATAGGTTTTTTGTTACTGATTGCTTCAGTTTTCTGCAATCATTAGATTTTGTAAAGTCTGTCTGCATTTACTAATGGGTTTTCTGGACAAATTTAAGAGTCAAAATGGACTTTGTGTGAATCGCCTTGATTTTGCACTAGCTAATGCGGTTGCTAAAGCCACCGACACAACGTCCCCCTATCATAACTCCCCACGCCCTAGCGCGAACGATTGCCGTTTATTTTCAGAACACCAAGGCCTTGATGTTTGTACGCTTATGACTCCCAATGTTTCACCCCTCTGAGTTATAAATACACACGTGCAAATGCCACCCACGACACACACGAAGGCGACATGGTTGAGTTCTCGATTAAACGGTTGACTCTCTGGTCCTCCTCTGACTTCATCCTTGTTGGGCATTTAGTAGTATATGGAGCTGTAACAGATTTAAATTAATTCAATTCGAAATTAGAACTGGTTGCAAATTTTTAGTCAAAGTGGTAAGGTTTTTCATCTTCATTTTGGGGATCGAGGTGCTTTTTTGTTGGCCTTCGGACTGACGAAACCTCTTTCATTTTGAGTAGTCTAGAGAAAATTGCTTAATCCACGGCAACTACCACTCGAGTTGCGGTAACCCAACCACACGGATATAAGCGCCATTAATTAGGTTGGTAAGGAACCATTGAAATATGAAGGTGCTTCTATTCTGTGTGTTTAATTGGCTGAATTTGGAGTGACATTTGAAATAATCATCCGTAAACATGACTCTATTTAACCCTTTTAAAAATGGAATATTTAGTGTACTTTGAAACACATTGCTCACGATTGAGGTGTTGGCATTAGAATTTGAATGGATTAGTTAACATTCGACTTTAGTGACAGACAATAAAAGAAGTATGTACTTCCAGATTTCCAACTTTCGGTTGAAGTCGAAGGTGCAACCCATGAGCCGTTTGGCAACATTTCAATTAGCTACTGACGACAGGTTATCCTGTTGTTGGTATTAACTCATGGTTTGCATTGTTTGCCGGTCTCGTCATAAAAGTAAAGATTCTCGCGTTTAGATAACAGTAGAAAAAAGGTGTGATAATGGATGCAGCTGTATAAAATTATTCTTTTGCACTTCGACTAAACCAAGCAGAATGAATATTCGTGACGAGTTTGAATGAAACCTTAAAGTAAGGACAGTATTCGACACCTTGAAGGTCTTGCATTTTAGCATGGTGATTCCCACCCCTCAGTTTTGGAATCAAGTCCTTTCATAAAACCACGTGTCGGTTGAATGGAAATACCCGTTCGTACGCATAGACACATGACTTGTACACCAGCTTGCAAGCCCAGTGTCTAACTTGACTTCAATAATGTATCTAAATCACGCTCTCCACCTCTTCTACACCCTCAGTTGTCAACACACAGCCCTATCTCCACTGAGTTCGCATTGACGCAAATAACATCACAATAGGCATTATGCAGCGACTATGAATATCAGTTATAAAATTCCCTGTGCCCCTAAGCCAACACTAAAAGTTTCATATGTGATTGTGTTGGCGATCCACTATACCTCATTATTGCTCGTCGTCGGTTTCTGGCACTACTTGAATTAGTTTCACTTTTGACAGCTCATTCGCACGTGGCCGACGCGATTAAAGCTCTCTACACGAGCTCTGGTCTTGTCCTTTTATCAGCGTGGGAAGGTCGGTGCTAGCGTCAACAAGGTATCTGGTACCGTTATTTGAGTGGTTTTCTCCTTGTTACGGGCAAACATCACAGATTGGTCTGGTTCCGAAATGCTTTTTTCAAGTCGATGATAAAAAAACACTATTAAGGCCTAACTCTTAAGGACCGACCATAATGGAATACTGGCCTTCCCAATGCATTAATGCAGTAGCTAAACTTGTGCGGAGATTGACGCAGGAATCGCTCACAACATTACTGTCTGGGGGCAAAACAAATAATGCCCGTTCCTGTTTACACATCTCCATTCCAATTATTTATGCCACCATAAACAGCCGACGACTCCTGGCGAATCAAGTATCACAATTTGGCTTGTTTTTATATTAGTTTTATTGTCCACAGGGCTATTTTGCAACCTAGACAATGGAAGGTGGCCATCGTAACAACCGATATATCGCCAACTGGTAATTGCTGCATTTAGGGGGGATGCGAACATGTGGGTGTTTGGAAAGACAAGAGCGGAGCAAAAGAATTTGATGGCGAATTTAAGACATAGACGACTCAAATGTCTTAAAGTGAATCAAAATATGCGGCAACTACTCGGTGCATGGTACTCAAAAACGATCTCCCCGTTGAATGCAGTGACTTGATTTTGTATAGTAAACTGATTATTTGCTGAGATAATAAGACAGCGTGTTTATCAGTTAAAAATAAAATTATTTATTACATCAATAAAAATTGTTTTTTTTTGTACACATGAATGGCACAATAACAAGCCGTGAAACTGCACATTAAAGAGAGGGAGATAAAATATTACTCATGAAGCAAATGGCATCTATAGACAGCAGAATCATTTTTCAAGAGTGAGTCTCCGCTTGAGGTACCGCATAGACCGGCTAGAAGGGCTGTGATCGATGTCAATTATGGGAGTACCGGCTGGAGAAGTAAGTGTGGAGGAAGAAACCCGTCCACTGACCGACACTTCCTCCATCTCGGCATCTGGGCACTCGTTTTCGCAGAACGCGCGGGGAGAATTCGAAGGCAATAGGTTGATTTCGTCGTCATCGTTGCCGTCTGAAGCGAGGTCTTCAGCATTCCTTGTAAAGGCACGTCGAAGCAGGCGCATCGCGCGTTTTGCGCACCACGGTGAAGAGGCGCTGTTGGACAAATATACCTCGGTCCATTCCAGGCCCGTCGTGACCTCCTGTGACAGAGGGTCGCCTACTTCTGGACGAATCTTGGTGGTGGATTAAAAGAATTGCAACTGAGACAACTTCAAAGCTAAAAACAAATACTACGTGTCTTAACAGACTTTTAGCTATCTTGGTTACCTTATTTGTGAATTCATAATGCAGATTAAACTTCAACTAAGACATCCAAATGAGCATCGTAAGTAGACAGCCACTGGCCTAAGAAACAACGACAGACAACAATCTCGATCGAAAGAAAATTCAACTAGCTACTAGGAGCACATTTAGTAGACGTGAATGCGTTGAGCGGTTTTAAAAATCTTGAGAGCCTTACATACACCAATTTTTGGTGGAAAAGAAACGCGAAACATATTTAATGAGGCCCGTGAAAACTAAAAACCAAACTGGAAAAGGCACCTCGGCAGCATCGGATGCGTGGTTCGGTTCTGTTAGTCCAGCCATCACGTAGATGGAAGCTGCGTCTGCCAGTAACTTCCACCAGGTCTTCGACACAGCAAATTCCTCGTCAGGTGCGGCCACTACCTGACCTGAATCGGAGAATTTCACAGATATTCCACAATCGACGAGTGCGTCTACCTTGGAGGTAGCTTCCAGCGACGGCCCAGTCGAGTTGTCGCATAAAGACGAGGAGGAAAGACGGGCTACATCGGAACACAGGGGCGCTGGTGGGAGACTCGTATGGGGCTGGGAAATTTTCACTAAGTGCGCATGCACTGTGTTGGCAATGGTGAAATCATCCTTGTCCCAGTAGTCTGCGGCGCTTGTGGATATGATTCGAGTTTGGAGAATGCCAAATTCATTCAGCAAAGACTGAATTTTAGAAAAAAAGAATGCTTTTAGGTAATTCCTCATGTGCACTACTTGCACCTGCCGTTAAGAGTAAGAAAAAACTCTTAGCAGAAACTCCGAACCCCAAGAGAAGAAAATATAAAAATGCAGAGTTACTAATCTGGCCAGGTTTTGTAAATGAACTTAGCAACACCGACACACCCCACGTTTTCGTTATGCACACTTAAAAATGAAGAATACGGTTTCCATGATCCCAATTATTTCACAATAATTCGTGTTGTAGTATCAAGCGAAATTGATCTTTTCGAAAACTATGACAATTTTTGAATTTTTGGCACTACCTGTACATTTGGACGTCTGTACATTGACGTGACAACACTCTAGGATACAAGAAGCGGCCAAATTGAATATGTAGTAAAACGGAGAGGTTGTCACGCACTTGGGGAGTTAAATCGGTGAACGCGTGACAGAATCCCCGTGCACTCCGCTCTTCAGGAAGCACGGCGAACAGACTTGGGGAAATGGTAGGCGCAGCGTCTCCGTCCCGCAGATCCTCGCCTTCCTCCAGTTTTGTCTTCCACGTGGGTTCCTTCACCATCGCTTCGGTAAGCAGTGTTCGCCACCAGGCCGATGGGTAGACAAGGGTCACTGCGATGCACAAGCGGGTTTCTGTGCTTGCAGCCACTGACTGGAGACTGGGCTCGAATTGAGGCAACGACAGACGGAAGTGATGCGGCAAAAATATCGGCAAAGAGGCTTCTCCGTCGGGAGCCCTATTTTCATTCAGTTGCTTCACTGGGTCGTCACAAAAGACAATTTTGAGAGATGACAGGGGAAGGCAAATCACAACCTAAAAAAGAGCCTTCTTACTCCTACTTAGACTTGTAAGCAGATAGTGTACGCAAGTAAACATACTGAATTAGCACGGACAGGGGCGGTAGCGGTCTGGCGTCGCACAAAGAGCCCCTGTTGGTCTCCACTTAGTGAAACAGCTACACTAGATACCACGAGCCTCTCAGACGGGGAGATGAGATGATCGAGGATGTCTTTGTAGGCATTGGCGCCAGGGAAGACGACTGAGGGGTTGCCGTAGGTCACTTGGAGAAGGGTGCACGCGTCGCATTCGGTGTCGTCGGAGAGGAATTGCGGCGGAGACGACGACGACGGCGACTGAGGGCCAGATTTGGACGACAACAGGAGAGCCGTTTGCCAGGGGGCTAACTCACTAAGAGAAACGATGGATGGTGGATTTCGGGGGTCTGAAACGAGCAGACTCTCAGTTATCCGTTCCTCAATGCACGCCAGAAAGTACTCTATAAGACAGTGCTCAACCTGAAAACAGAATTGCAGGTATTAAGTCTTACCGCAAAGGGTTGACCACTAGAAAGATTATATCCTCTGTGTAACCAAAACATGCACATTAGTAATCGATGGAATGTCGAAAGCATTAAATGAAAGGAATTGTGAAATTGTGTAGTTGTGCTGATTTTTGTATAGAATTCATCAAGTAAACAAAGTAATAATATTGTACCTCGCTAAGGCACAATTCAGCAGACAACTATGCATCGAGGTTACAGTCTGGGTAAATTTGAGTGCTTTGGCAGCGATGAAAGTAAGCAGGAGGGAAAAAATAACTTGTCTAATCACATATTACTTCAATAACGTACCTCCGAACTATCAAGGTCGGGGAGAAGAGATCGGATCGATTGATCCAAAGAATCCCATGCATCTGAAATACAAGAAAGACCCCTTAGCTTAAGTGGTCTAATTGGTCAGGTAGTAAAGCGTGAGAGCCTGGAATACCTTGAACTGTTGGCGGTTTAAAACTCGTCAAAGTGGACGCGCCTCGGCTATCGGGCCCAAACACCACCCGATCGAAGAGTGCTTCGACGTGGAATTCAATCCGGTCAGTTAAAAAACATGGCAGAAGAGCAAGCCCTGTGTCTGTTTTGTGAAACAGGGTTGCTTGTGCCTCCAATTCGGTCGTTAGTTTAGCCTTCAAGGAACGCAATTCAATGTAATGTTGACACACACACACACACACACAGATAGGTAGATTTCATTTGTAACATACCTGGTGAGCAAGCAGGACCACGTCATTGTTCATGGCGCCGACCACATGATTAGCAAAGTAGTGGCTTTGAAAGGTGGGCAAAACCTAGAACCAACGAAACACGCAGTCTGTAGAAAAAAATGTCCTGGTTAAAGAATACTTTAGTCTTGAATAATGCTCACATTTAATCGAGGCACTGACTTGGCCGCTAGTTGAGTTTCACTAAACACCGGTGGTGGTGGTGGTGGTGGCGGCGGCAGACTTCTAAATGTTAAAAATTCGGCTACGCTGGGCTCATCGGTCGACGAAGAGTGTTGAACTTTGAGATAATTACTTATCTGCCTCTGGAGTACAGCTGTTTTGAGATCCACTCGTCCTATGACTTCAATTCGGCCCGACGGCGACGCATCAAGCTAAAAGTGGTCAGATTACTAACGCGGTAGACAGACTGAGAGTAAACAGAGGTAAATCGCGCGATATTCTGCTATACTTAGCCCGTCGCCAGTAACAAGACCTTACCATTTAATTCGAGAACATATTGGACAACACTGACAGGTCTTGTCACCGGGCATAAGCACTAACTAGATGGGGGGTTTTCTCAAGTTCTGTTAAAAAAAAGATTGGCTCCCATCAACTAATTGGAGAATTGTTTACACCACTTCATCCAGACATGCTACCAGAAGCTTGATTAATGTTTCAGCACTGGCGCAAACTCTATCCATCTCATTGACACATTTCATTCCAGTAGATCGTAATCGCCTGTGTAAAAGGGATAGAATCGCTGACAGGGAAAAACATGAAAGCAGGAGTACTTACGTTTTCCTGCATGGAACAAACACCGACATTAACCAGACCCATTCGAGTAAAAGCATAAAGAATTTGGGGAAGCCACTGGTCAATGAGGACAACGCGCACCAGACCTCTGACAAGAAGAAGCTCTGCAGCGCGATCCGGAGTGACAAGGCACTATAAAATGGAGAAAACCCTCATTAGAACAAGTGAGGGGATTGCATTGTTAGGGGTTACTGATTAATTACATCAATCCTTTGAATAACCTAGTACAAACTCACCGTGGGACACTTGTTCCAAAGGTATATTATTGTGTTTCTTAGAGCCAGATAGAGCGGTGTATGCCTTTAGTGAAAAGGGAAACGGAAAGTGAGTCTTGGACAGGACAAAAGCTTATAGAAGGCAAGATCTCAGTTCAATGGTGGTAATTTCCATGCATGAAACAAACGAAATACAGAACCCTTTCCCCACGACGATGGAATTAAATTTGCAGGGTCTTAACTACGTGAAATTCAAAACATGGAATAAAATTAGAGGCACAATATCAAGTATTGGTCACTCAAGGAAAACTATAGGATCTGTCCGACAACCCCTTAACCAGTCGCCTTCTGCTTGATTAGAAATCTTTTGTAAATCAAGCACAGCCATATTGGTAAGTCGAGCTAAGTACTGACATAAAAGGTAGGCGTAAACACGGCCGAATGTCAGTAGAAATAAATAAAAAAAACAAGAGACGTTTGAGATTCTGACACTCGCACAAAAAGCAAAACAGAAGCTGCCAAAAGAAGGGTAAATCTATTTTTAAAAAATATACCGAGTCATATTGGGAAACCTGAAGCGTTCCCAAGTGTTCACATCGACAGGCGACCAGGAACCACTGGGGGCTGGAAATTCTTCTGGCATGGAAAATGGTCGGCGAAAGGCAGGAAAAGCTACAGAAAGCAAAAAAATATATTTTTTTGTTGATATGCGACAAATAAACATTTAATTATTTTGAATGATTGTCAGTTTTCGTTATTTAGGCTGCTAGGATTCCTATAGGGGACGTAATGGGAAATACAGCCCACCTGCAATTTGTAAACACGTGACATAGCGGATGTTAATTACTTAGAAAGGACTTCACAAAGTAAGAATATGTGATGCTCTAACTTACTTGGTGGTCCTGACTCAGGATCATTATCGGATGATGTGTTATTTATACATCCTGTCGCAAGGGGCGATATTCCTAGTAAATCAGGAGGGTACGGTGGACACAAGTAAGTTAGGGGACTATCCTGAACAAGTCCTAGTAGTTTCAAACTGGCGAGGAAGTTTTGAGAGTTATTCAAGACCATGCGGATCCGCTAAAACATAATCGTTAAGCATGAAGGTAACACTGGATTAGCAAATAAACTTTACGCAAGTCTACGCTGTGAATCAATTGAGGTGGAATATTAAAAAGACATGGACAAGAAGATTTGTTAAACTGAATAAACAACTCTTAGTTAATGGAAATGGTTTAACGCATTAACAGCTGTAATGCCTGTTGATAAATTTGTATAAATATACCACGTATCGCAAATGACCACAGATATGAATTAGACACTTTTAAACAAAAATTACCTCGTCTTCTGGAATTTCACAAGGTTTGTGGAAACGCTACAATGAGTAGGAAATTCATTAATGACCATGCCTAACAAACTATCCCAAGCAAAAATACTGGTGAACTAACCCGAAAAACCACAGAACAAGTGAAATTGGAACAAAATCCGGAAATCCGCAATCCAAGTTTAAGAGGAATTTGTCTCCAGCGTTTACAAGCCTTGCACTTCACCCACCAAGGAAGCAAGTTATTGACAATAAAACCTAGCTCCGTCAAGCTAGAAGAAAATCCTAGCTGTCCCGTCTTCTGGGTCATTTTTTTCTTCCAACGAGCGAATCGTTCATGCCAGACTGTGTGGTTTGCTAAAGTTTTCGATTTAGAAAACCTTAAAGTTTTAGCACGGAAGCTTAATCTACTTAGTATGGTCAAAAAATTGAAAGCAATGTTGGCATATATGCTCCCCAACTGACAGGTGAATCCATGGACTTGTGCCCCTATTCCGATCACAGCTACAACAGTATAGAAGACAAAAATCATATTACTTTGGGGCAAATCCAATAAAACAAACAGGGTTCACATTACTACAATGTGGATCCATGCATGTCAATCGGCGTTTCGAACTCTCCAGCTCTAATCCGCTGACATTCATTTTGCGGCTAACAGACAATAGGCAAACATAAGTTCTTTCAAACCACGCTGATAACCTATCAGTGATTGGGGTAATCCAATTGGGTGGTACACCCAATTATTATCAACGACAAAATCATAGCTGTAGCTTTCGTTGCTGGAATAGTAAGAATCCACAAATTTTTCTGCTATACTACAGTAAGCAAAATCATTGTTTAAAATACTGTAACTTGACCCCAAAACCTTTCTAATTATCCAAACATGTTCAAAATGGCAATGGGGACTTAAATAGGACGTTTAGAACACAAAAGGGAACTAAAATTGTTATGAGTACCTAAAAGAATAAACAATGATAGCTATGCATGATTACTCAATTTCTTCTGTCATTTTTTTCCCAAATGTATGCTGATCACAACGTCGTTCTGCCATTCTAATTCATGCGCTTTGGTTGCAAGTGTTTCGACTGCATTTGGAGACAATGTCAATATCAGCTACAAAGCGTGTTTGTCAATAATGCATAAGTTTAAACCATTTCGTACGATTCTGGAAACGCACGTATTTCAAGATATTATGGTGGTGAATGAATACAACTCTATACTATGTCACTTATCAATTGTTTGCTGCTGGGCAGTGTATGTTAGGATAAGAGTAATGATTGCTAACTGATTACCATGTATACCCTTTTGCTGATGCATTTACTAAAGTTTTATTGTTGTGCAAATTTACTTCAGCAAATAACTCTCCCCCCTAATTCCACTGTCACCTACCTACACATTCTTGCGGATTCCTATTCCAGCTGCATCTCCTTATTTTGCATTAGGGCGCCATCATGTAATTTTAGTTTTTTTAATGCATCATCAAGGGGAATTAATCATTTTATAAACTTCCTGTGCACGATGACTTCAAAAACTGTCTATAAATTGTAATAAACTTAAGTAAAATGGTTACTAAATGAACAATTATTTGCTTTTTTAAATAAATCAGTGAATAAAAGATTTACTTAACTAAACAAATGGCTTAAATATGTGGTTGTCGAAAATTTTACATAGCCTGCACGGCAAACTAAGGTATTTATTTGCTTTAATGAATAAATATCAGTTTTTTAATGGATAAGAAAGATTTCTATTGACCATGCCTTTACTAAAGCGGTGAACCTTGACATGCGCAGTAAATCCTAACCGAAAATTTGCGCTTTGTTTAATCGATGCAATGAAAAATTAATGACTAAAACTTAACACTAGTCTTTACTTGGTTTTAATACAAAACCTTAGAATAAACTTGTAAAACTAGCGCAACAACTTTTCAAATGATGGATCTCAGGCCTTTTTTTGAATCTAGCGATTGTCAGTAATTCCAAAATTAGTTGAGACCTCGTTAACGGAACTCGTGAATGCTTAGCGTGCCTTCTTATGTGTGGGTTTTTTAATTTATTCTTTCGTCTGTTGTGCTTGCGTTTGATTGTCTTATCTACTACTATAAAGCCAAAATTTGGTATACCTTAACAGTAAATAACAGACGGCTGATATCTGTCAATTTCTCCATATTTGATGCTCCATGCTTTCAACTTGGTGAAACATTTTTTTGCTTTTGACTTAAAATTGTTTTTGTGCTAATCTATCAATGTATAAAATAGTTCATTCAAGTCTAAAAAGTTTTGATATACCAATTAAATTAATTGAAGTTTCACGTAGCGATATCGCATTGCAAACAGTAGGTCATATTTGCGTAGTTAATGTCATAAAATTTAGTGAACAATTATGTGTAGGTGAGTTAAGTGAAGAATTAATCATTCTCGTGCTGTAAAGGTGGGTCTGTGATTGTGACTACTGTATCAAGGATTCGTTTTTTGTAGCCTAATTAACCAGACCTCAACAACCTCAGACAAAATGAACTCGAGAAAGTAAGCTAATAAATGTAGAAAAATGTTGATTTTTGTTTTGTTTTTTTACTTCCATGCCGATATAATTATTTTGTAGTAAAGAGGCCGTATTTATGTAGAAGACTTGAGCCATGTGAAGCAAAGCAGTCACATGCAGATCATTCTCGTAAAGCCATGTTATTATGAGAGTCCACATAAACAGTTTAACTGATGAATGCCGGATGAACTTGAGTCCTTTCAATAGAAACAGACAATTGACATGAAAACTTACAGGCATTGTTCAAAAATATGTTGCTGCCAAATTTACACAATTAAATTTCTACAAGAACTCGATTGCTGACTGCACAGTTTCTAAAACTTGTACTAATTCATGACACCAGCAGGGGATGGAATCATTTCTTGCAATTTCCAAATTTCTCGTGACTTTACCAAATATTTAAACTTAATGTATGTGGTTAATATGGTCCTTTAAAGCGTGTTTGTAGCTATCGGTTAACGATGCATTTAAGTCGGAATGGAAGCATATAGCCTATCTAATATTCGTCACTGCTCGATTTGATAGTCAATCTTTGTACAACTACGGATAATTCATGATTATTACCATCGGTTCTACCCATCTGATTTAGTATTCTAATTAATTTTTTTAAATAACGTTATCAATTCGACAAGGTGTTTGATCTGTTAGCAATTGACTAATTAAAACGCGCTGATCTCGTATTTACACATTTTCACGGGGAGTTATTCAAAAAGCCAGTCGGCACCATTATGTATTGGCATCTTATGCTTAAAAGTTTTTTTAAACGTCAAGTGTTTACGTACAGCGCGATGGCATAAAAATTCCAGAGCGATGTCTTTAAAAAAAGACGTTTATGCATATCATAAGACTTTTGTTTACAACAAAAGGCATACTAATTAATATTTTTAAGGCTGTCTTAATTTCAAGTTTATAGGCGACCTGTTTGGCACGTCCTTTGAAACCATTGTTGACATGAAGCAAGGTTTAAAGTTTCATGCTCAAGTGCGTTGCACTAAAAACATTCCTTTAATTTGAGTTCATGTCTTTTGTCTTTTCTTAATGAAAACGACCATAGCAAATATTCTACAATCCAACTTAGAGCAGAATGTTGCCTACATCATCGTTATTGTAAAATCTGGATATTCGCAATCTGACTAAAATGTAATGCAACTGATCCTTAAAACTTTCGGAACTCTGACCTCAAACGCAAGATTATTGTTCACCAAATTTTTACTGGTCACTTTATTAAAGCAGGGAAAGTAGCACTAATTGACCACATTTGTCTCCATAACAACACTTTTCACGATTTTAAAGACATTAATAAGGAAACCAAAAGGATGCATTCAATTTTCTAAAAATGCCTTTTTTGGTAATCAACTTGCTGTTCCTCGGCCTTTTTTGATTGTTACTTTGTACTGTGGGCTATCTACTATTATCAGAGTGTTTTACTATCCTCTGCTAGGCAGGGACTGTATATTTAGTCAGTTGAGTTAGTAAAAGTAAATCATATCAAAGGGGAGCAGTAATTCCATTAGGGGGTCTTGCTACCAACGAGTAAAGTAATTTGACTTGTTAGCTAGCATAAAACACAAATTCTATTATAAGAGAAGCTGATTTAGTTAATATGCACCAGTGAGGACTTTGTCATAAGAGCAGGACCTGCTTTACCAAATAACATAACTTCTGTTGGATATCTAAAAGAGAATAAGCTTCGAATCGTTGTCGTCTCGAGGCTGCTTCGACTTCCCTAAAATGCCTTTTAAAAGGTCAGGACAACCATAAAAGAAAAAATAAACTGTTTGTTCTGGCACATGGGCACAGTCGTTACGTTACTAGAAATCTTTTCAGAAAGCTTTTGACAGGACGAAAACTTCAAACCAATCCATCAAAGTTAAAGGCCTCATCTCGTTACAAATCTTACTCTGTATTACCTAGGCAAATAATACCATCAGAGGCCTAATTATTTTAAACAACTGTCCAAGTATTGTTAGCTTGCGTAATCCACATGTTATCTGCCACTGGCGAAGAAAATTTAACGAGTTTGAAAAAAAGAGCACTGGCTATTATTCAGGGAACTGACAATTAAAACCATGGATAACACAAACAACAATGTACCCCGCTGTCAAAGTTATAAGGGTTTTTCCTGGCAAGTGCAAGCAAAATGTATTTTTCGACCATGCAAATCTTGTCACACGTCAAGAACAACTTCAAAGGAATGCTGAGTTAGGTT